CCACTCTTCCACATTGATTTACTTGATGCCAATGATGAAAATCTCAGTTCTCTGAACCCTTACTGATGGAAAACTTAACGCCAGTCTGAGGCAACATTCAAGCAATCCTTCCTTTTCCCTACTGCTATTGATTCAAACTTTGAGAGTTCCCTGCTAAATTCCTGTTTCTTTTCTAGAGTTCCCATCTTTCCAGAAGGGCAGCCTGTGAAGCGATGATAAGCGAAATTGTGTATTCCAAGCCAGATCTGGATCGTTCAGAGATCATTCAACATTGTCTCGGTGTTCTTGTGTTTGAAATAGTACCATAAATGATACAATCTCCTATATTTCCACAGTTGCAGTATCTTCACTCCCCCGTCTAACTCGCCCCACACGATCGTCCATTACGCCGCTCCCGTCTCTTATCACGACATCGGCACATGAGGAGAGTTCTGATTGGCTACAAGATTGTCCAGGGGAGCTTTTCGGTGGAAAAAAAAAAAATAGAAAACAGTTTCTGTTTCTCCGATTTGACTGATTTGACTGATTTGAGACCTTATGTTAGAGTTGTTTAAGACCTGTCTTTGATTTGGTTGTATGTAGTCTCTCTCGACATGGCGGACAAAAAGGATTTCAACGTCACATACAGAGGACCTGCTCAGGATGGCGCTACGAAAAGTGTCCGATCGGAGGAGTTTAACCGATTAGATGAAGAGATTGCGACAGATCCTATGTCTGCACCATTGAAGCGACAGCTCAAGTCTAGACATCTACAGATGATCGCTATTGGAGGTGAGTCTGCGCTCACATTGTTCTAAGTATTCGCTGTTGACCAAAGGAATCGCAGGCATTATTGGTCCTGGTCTGTTGGTGAGCTCCGGCAATGCGCTGCATGAGGGTGGACCCGCAGGATCTTTGATCAGTTTCTCGCTGGTCGGCATTATTGTCTTCTTCGTCATGTAAGGAGTACATTTTCTGGTCTCAAGAATGATTCTAATAGCTACAGGCAATCGCTGGGTGAAATGGCCACGCTTCTCCCTGTGACTGGATCGTTCACCGAGTATGCAGAGCGCTTTATTGACGACTCTCTGGCGTTTGCGCTAGGATGGGCGTATTGGTACTTATGGGTGACTGTACGACATACATTGAAGATTCGGAGAGTATGAAGAATATCTTGCTAACACCACGCTTCAGGTTCTTGCAAATGAATACAACGCGATATCACTAGTCATTGGGTACTGGACAGACGCTGTTCCTCAATGGGGCTGGATCTTGATCTTCTGGGTGATGTTCCTTACCCTGTCAAATCTGGGGATCTTAGCCTACGGTGAGATGGAATTTTGGCTATCTCTGTAAGTCTCCATGTGCTTGTGGGTTAAAGGATCAACTTGGCTAATAGACTGTAGTATCAAGGTGTTGGCGTTGATTGTATTTTTTCATTCTCGCAATTATCATCAGTGCAGGTGGGATTGGACCTCGCGCTATTGGGTTTACATATTGGCATTCCCCGGGGCATTTGCAGATTCAATCAATGGCGTTGCGAAAACCTTTGTTGTTGCCGGAACATTGTATGCTGGGACTGAAATGTATGTTCCGCAGTATCGAAGGTGTGGGAAATGGCGAAAGCTGACGGTTGAATTAGGGTTGGCATCACCGCCGGAGAATCGGCAAATCCTCAAAAAGCAGTACCCAGGGCGATCAAGCAGGTTTTTTGGCGTATCCTGATTTTCTACGTTGGTAAGTTCACATTGCAACAGAAGACCCAGCCACTACTAAACTACATCCAGGTACTATCTTCTTCATTGGAATGCTCATCCCATGGAATGACAAGAGATTGTTGGGCACATCGTCAAAGACAGCCAGCTCCCCGTTGACAATCTCGCTGGAAGATGCAGGGATCCTCCCAGCTGCCCACCTCATTAATGCTCTCATTGTGATCAGTGTCATATCCGCAGGAAATAGCTCGCTTTATGTGGCATCTAGAACACTGCTTTTCATGTCCCGCAACGGAAAAGCCCCAAAATTCATTGGCCGGACAAATCGTCTCGGAGTCCCATGGGTGGGCCTGGTATTCACCAACATCTTTGCATGCATTGTGTTTTTAGAGCAGTCCTCTAGTGCTGGAAGGGTTTACTCGGCATTGATTACCCTTTCAGGTGGTATGTTTCCCTTCCCGAACCGTTCCTAGAAACACTATTGTTCCATGCTAACGAAGTACAGTTGCTACCTTTATTGTTTGGTCGGTAATTGGAGTTGCGCATATTCGATTCCGCAAGGCCCTGGTCGCACAAGGCCAAGACCCATCTAAGCTCCCATTCCAAGCTCTCTTCTACCCATGGGGCACCTACTTCTCGCTGGCCGCAAATGTGTTTCTCATTTTCTTCCAGGGGTACACTTGCTTCCTCAATCCTTTTAGCTCGACTGACTTTGTGATCAACTATATCCTGCTTCCTGTGTTTGTGTTGTTTGTGATTGTGTACAAGTTCTGGAACAAAACACGTGTTGTCCGACTGGAGGATATGGACATCTGGACTGGGCGAAGGGAGCACGTTGATTTGGAAGAGCCTGAGTCGCCCAAACAGGCCGTTAAGTGGTGGTCTCGCATTTATTCCGTTGTTATAGGGTAGATCAGTTGCCCTCCGTGTTATACACTATACCCATCCATGCACAATTTGAATCTACCTTTCGGTTGCATGCAGCTCTGTGAAGTACCGTGCGAAGAGTAACCGCCGAAGAAGGCTTTGTGCGACTTACGACCATCAACCAAGAGACACAACGTGCGATATCGTCGGCACACAGCGGACCAGATATCATAGTTTAAGAGATCAGCACGGAGACCGTCGGAGCGCGGAGATTTATGAGGAGAACCAATATATGCAAAGGGTTGAGTGAAACCTCTTATCTGGACTAGCCAATGGCTTGGGCTTTTGTTCACAGTTAGATGAATGCAATATGCTCAGAATTCACCGTTTACTCGCTCGTACTTTTCAGCTGCCAAAAGCAAGGCGTCTGGCCCCACATGACCCGCTGAGTAATGGACCATTAAATCAACATCGTGTCCGACGATTGACGATGTGATTGGCTCGATGGAGAGGGAGAAACACAGCTCATCTCAGACACATCGGTTTTAAAACAAAAGGGCCCATCACATATGACCCCCGCCTGTCGATCACTTTCTTGCATAGGCCTGGTTTCCTGGGATCCGGAGTTCTAGCACCACTTGATTCTTCACGCCGTCTCTAATCGACCAATCGGGACTATCTTGTACCTCGCTTTGACTTCTATTCTTCGAAGTTGCCGGTCGGTGAATGTTCCTTATTCAGTATGGTGGTTGTTAATTAATCATTTGGACTTGCAGCATACCATTGCCAATTAAATACCAAGACAGTTGGATACGCAGAATGTAACATCGCCTTGATAGCGAGTAGATTCTCTGGACAGTCCGGAAATACCTCCGGCAAGGTATATATAAACAACCACCTTTCCCCGAAACATTGAGGTCTACAAGTCAAGAAATATCCATAGCCAGTCAAGTATTCGAGTTCTCCTGGTCAACTATCTCGCCAAAATGCAGTACACCAAGGTATTATATTCTACTATATCGAACGCATCAACCCATCAGCCATTAATACAGACCTCAGATCCTGGCAGTGGCCACCTTCTTCATCTCCAGTGCCTTCGCCGCCCCGCTCGACGTCGAGGCTCGAGCATGTGCCGCGACTTGCGGTACAGTCTGCTACACCAGCAGTGCCATCAGCGCCGCCCAGAAAGAGGGATACAATCTCTACAGTGCGAATGACGATGTCTCCAACTACCCCCACGAGTACCACAACTACGAAGGGTTCGACTTCCCCGTTTCAGGGACCTACTACGAGTTCCCCATTCTCAAGGGTGGCAGTGTCTATACTGGTAGCTCCCCGGTGCGGACCGTGTTATTTTCAACGACAATGATGAGCTCGCTGGCGTTATTACTCACACTGGTGCTAGTGGTAATAACTTTGTGGGATGTACCTAGATGATGAATTTGAATTGGATGTGATATATATATATATATATATATTTATATATTTGAGAACATAGATTGTTTCTTGTGTTCAAAATACACACATAGGATTTGAATGTAGGAGATCGCCTTTTCACGTAGACAGTGGACTCGAACTGTCAACATGCCATAAAGCTCTCCGTTGCTTTTGGTATCTAGAGGCAAACAACAATCGACACCCGCACATTTGCGAGAATGTGGGAACTTGTCGTCGTCGGGGTTTGATACCTAGGAGTGGTAGAAGAAATGTGTAAACAAACCAGGTACATGTGGGGATATAAAATTTGAGCAGTCACGTTTGTTGTCGGAACCCAGCAAGTGCACATTAGCTCCTTGCAAGGCTCGACGAGAGTTGTGGGGTTTATTGAAAGTTGACGTGTGACGAGTGGATGAAAGATGAGAATTTGATGCTATACAGCTGTAGTGGAGAGATTTTATAGGAAGAAAGATCTTGGGTCAGTCAGAAGTGCGGGGTAGTCTCGGCGCTGTGTACCCTCAACATATGTTGTAGAAGGACGTGCCTAGGTATCAAGGTATCTATCTACCTAAGTAGGTATACGGGAAATGCATTTTTAAAAGGAAACAGCTACTGGTTGGGGTAGTTTTCATTTCTGTCACCATCCGACAACTGTAAATTTCAATTACAAAGTGGAAGGAGACATCCATAACATTCAATACCTGCCCAGGTGGTTACCTTGTTAGGTAACTACCTTATCAGTAAGCTTCGGCCTTGAGAATAGCCGAGGCCGATGATCACATAAGATTAGGCGGACAAAAACAACGGACGAACTCATTCTGGTCAAAGGTTACAAATCCATGTCAGCTTCTATCCACAATTGACAATGACCATTATAGATTATACAGAGAATATATGCCTTAAACAGAAAGCCTGGGATATATAAGATCAAACCTTGCCTGCTGTAAATATGATCATTATCAAACAAAGCCCAGTTTCAATCACAATCACACCTAAATCGCAATGTCATCCACACTCAAAACCATCCAGCTATACGGCTCCCTAATTGGCCCCAATCCCCTGAAGACCGCAATTGTCCTCGCACTTTTGGAACTACCATATGAAGTCGTGCAAGTCCCCTTCTCCAAAGTCAAAGAACCCGAGTACGAAGCAATCAATCCAAATGGACGCCTACCATCGATCCACGACCCAAACACCAACCTGACCATTTGGGAGAGCGGTGCTATTATCGAGTATCTCATCGAGCGCTACGACACCAATGAACCCCGCAAACTGAGCTTTGCACCACGCAGCGCAGAAGCCGAGCTTGCACGCTCGTTCCTCCACCTCCAAGCCACTGGCCAAGGGCCGTACTACGGACAAGCGTTTTGGTTCAAGTTCCACGCTGAAAGGGTCCCTACCGTCGTGGAGCGCTATGTCAACGAGGCCAAACGCGTGACGGGCGTGCTGGACAAGTGGTTGGGCAAGCAGAAGGAGGCTAACGACAAGGATATCGGGGATGGTCCCTGGTTGGTCGGTAACAAGTTTTCATACGCTGATGTGGCGTTCATTCCGTGGCAAAACGGGGCACACACAGCATTCGCTGATGAAGGGTTCGACGTTGATGAGTTCCCAAATGAGAAGGAGTGGCTTGAGCGCATGACCTCAATGAAGCCCATCAAGGATATTCTGAACTCCGCGGCTGAGGAGAGGGCTAATATGGCGGAACACTGATGGATGGGATTCCTGCGGACATCTAATTCGAGTATAATTCATAGCTATCGATATTGCGACAGGGCAATGTAAAGCAAAATACAACTGTGTCCCCATGTCTAGTAACCCTTGATTTGTATGTATTTCTTTCTTCCTGAATCAGGCTCAGAGTAAAACGTGACTAGCACCCATGGATATGCGCACAAACAGAAAAAAGCATCATCCCAAACTCATCCGCAGATTGCAACCACCGCTCAATCTTCTCCCGCCGAGCATCTGTTCCAGTCTCAGTAGACTTCCATAGCTCCGATATCTCAAGCATCCCATCCTCCCAGCGAGACAAATGGCGATTGTATTCTCGTTCCCAAAAGACGCGGTCTGAGGCTTCCCAGAGTATTTTGCTTTCTGGGGCGAAGGTCCCTCTCAGTTCTTCGGCAACGAAGTTCGGCAGCCCAATTTCGGCATTGTAAACATTGGAAAAGAGGTACATGGTAAAGAGGGTACGACGTTTGGCAGAAGCAACTATCCATGACTCCCAGCTCGGGCGGGTCTGGGATTTTTCTGCTCTGCACGTGAGACCTGCTTTGGCGGATCGGAAAGCAATTTCTTGCATCTGTAGCTGCACATACTCATTGAACTGGCTGGGTTCTCTGGTCGTGTCTGTTCGATGAAAGAAATAGATCGTCATGAAGTAGATGAGATACGCTTGGAACGAGCACAGGTTGTCAAAGTCGCTTTGAGAGGTATCCTGTCTCGTGTTAGGTTTATATCTAACGAATAATAAGGTGCCAACATACCCGATTTTCAATATTTCTCATCTCGTCTCCAATCATCCTCAGAAGCAAGGGTTCACACCCAGGAATCCGAGTCAACCATGTCCGAACCAGGGTGAAACAGTGAGCCAAGACAGGGGAACAAGTCGGTGCCTGTTGCAGAGAATGAATAAAAGGCGGTGCAATTGAGTTGCTTAGATTCCTAATATACGATCTCAACACGCAGGTGAGATACTGTATGGTGTGAGCATTCAACTGCTTGGGCTCCTGGCCGGTCGAGCTTGAGATATAGGGACGTAGCCAGCGATCGCGAATTTCCACTGCATCGATCATGGGCACTAGATCAATTTCTTGAAAGTCCAGGACACGGACATCTGGATGAACTGGTCCACTATCTGCGATAGTAGAGTGACCCGGGGTATGAGATGCATTTCCGGTGTTTTGAGCCAGAACCTGGGCCAGTGTGGGATCCGGGGATATTGCGTTAGAAACGGTGCTGAGAGGGCTGGCATCCACAGTGGCATATTGACTCTCTGTATTAGTACCACTTGGTGATCTGACGTGTGCTGGATATTCACAGCTCGTGCCTCGATCTTTGCATCGCTTGCATTTCGGCTTTCCGAGATCACATGCAGCTTTGCCTTCGACACATTTTCGGCATGCCTTTTTTCGCGAATTCCGTGGGATTCGAGATGAAGCAGGTGTTGAAGGTTCGGGTCTACCTGGGCCTTCCATTTTGACTTCCATTTTGACTTCCATTTTGAAGATGGATTGGGGGGGGTGCTTCGGAGTTCCGGTAATATTTTCGGGGTTCCGTCTAATGCCAAGCCATGAAGTCATCCCACTAGGTAGACACCTAAAGGTAAGTTTGCACTCTTTGTGTACAATGCAATGTCTTCATTTCTGCCGTTTGTCTACTTCAAACCTTGGAACGTTTGCGGTGTTTGTTATGTAAAGGCCAGGGTGAAGTTCCCAGCTCTTTCTCCCAGCTCACCTAGTACTTTTTTAGCCTTGTCCTTTCAAATATTACAGTTCATTCACTATGTAAAACTTCAGTGCAGGTTCATAGAATTTAGAGGAAATAACCAGGTTCTTTTGGTCGAAAAGGTGGAATGAAAAGACGTGGCAAACCAAATGACCCATACTGAAGATCATTGCGGAATTCCGAAGCAGATCCAGATTCCCCCGCAACTATAAATCATCTGCCGATCTCCTCTTACAACACACTTCCAACCAAAACAATAACTACAATTACAACTCCAACTACCATTCATTAGCCATGTCTCAAGTCTACACAACAGACCACTCAACCTCAGTCCTCCGAACGCACAGCTGGCGCACAGTCTCCAACTCCGCGCCATACCTCCTCCCACACCTAAAACCAGACATGAAAATCCTGGATGTAGGTTGTGGACCTGGTTCGATCACTATTTCCCTCGCAAAGCATATCCCATCTGGCCATGTCATAGGAGTGGAATACGTGCCTGATCCATTAGAAGGCGCGCGTGCCCTTGCGCAAGCCGAAGGCGTGTCGAACATTACCTTCCGAGAAGGAAACATCCATGCCCTGCCATTCGAGGACAATACCTTTGATGTGGTACATGCGCACCAGGTTTTGCAACACATTGCTGACCCTGTTCATGCGCTAAAGGAAATGCGGAGAGTCGCTAAAGACGGTGGGATTGTTGCATGTCGTGAGTCGGCGGAGATGAGCTGGTATCCCCAGTCTGCGGGGATCGCTAAATGGCGCGAAGTTACGGAGCGCATGCAACGTGCTAAAGGTGGAAATCCGCATCCTGGGAGGATGATTCATGTTTGGGCGCGGGAGGCTGGGTTTGACAGTGGAAGTATCAAGAAGAGTGCGGGGGCTTGGTGTTTTGGGAGTGATGCGGAGAGGGCGTATTGGGGTGGATCTATGGAGGAAAGGGCTAGATCTTCTGGGTTTGCGAAGAATGTTGTCCAGGAGGGCTTTGCAGAGCCGGAGGCCTTGGAAGTTATTGCGAGGGGGTGGACGCAGTTTGTGGAAGATGAAGATGCCTGGTTTGGTTTGTTGCATGGGGAAATATTGTGTTGGAAGTAAACTGGAACAACTGTTGTCTTTAACCGTGGTTCGACATCTAGAAGGAATGATAATAGAAAAATATCTTGATGCAATGGTAAGGAAAGGCAAATATAATGATGTAAACCCTTCGCGAAATGCAACCCTCAACCCTAAGCAAAGAATAATGTGAATCTTAAACGAACGATCGATTGATGAGAGACCTTCAAGCAACAGCCAATATGTTATGACAATCACCAGCCACCGTCACTATGATCAGACTGAGCCTCTTCCTCATCGTGGCGGCCCTGCTCGTAAGCTTCTTCGAGATCTGACTTATCAGAGTCGTCGCCTAAAAACAATTAATTAGCATGTGCAAAAATAAAGCAGTTCAATCGAAGCAAAAAGAACATACCAAGCTCATTAGCGATCAAAGCACCGCCAATACCACCGACAGCCAAACCAGCGGCACCGGCTGCAAGATACTTCCCAGCGTTGCTGCTCTTCTTCTCAGGCTCGGGCTGCTGATAGTAGTCCTGGCTGGGGCCACGGGTATCGTAAGGTACAGGTGGAGGGCCCTGGGGAGGCGCATAGTAACCACCCTGGGGCTCGGGAGGAGGAACGCTGCGAGAACCATCATTGTATCCAGAGTAGCCAGGCTGCTGGTAAGGCGTCTCCCACTGAGAGCGACCAGTGGCCTGTTCTACGTAGAATGCACGACGGGCAGTGGGCTCCCATTCCTGGACCCAGCCCTGGGGCAGAGGAGGTGGGGGGCCCGGAGGGGGACGGGCTAGAGGCGGGGGTGCACTGTATGGGCCACGATCGTATGCTGGGCGACCGCCGTCGTAGGGGGGACGGTCATATCCATCTTGAGGAGGAGGGCGCGCATAAGGATCAGCAGGTGGGCGCCCGTAGGGGTCGTATGGTGGACGATCTGAGGGAGGGCGAGCGTAAGGGTCGCCGTAAGGTGGAGCGTACGACATAATGATGGTTGGTATGGAGAGGTAAAAGAAGAGGAAATGAATATAATTGAAAAAGAGGGCAGTGAGGGTTTTTATGGGAAACCGCAAAAGAACAAACACCGTTGTAGACTATCACCTTCCGCCCAGAACCGAAAGAGACAAGTCCATTCAACGGGAATTATGCCCCCCACTTCTAGGGAGTTACATGTTAGCGCCCAATTTTACGGAGGTACGTCCACTCCGATTAGGCAGATGCAATATAAAATGCTCCATGAGCCCCTGGAGTGGGCAGGATGGTCAGATTGACAATCCCATCGCCTTGCAGGGCTAGTCAGCCAAATGACCAATTCGATTTCAGCATGCTAACTGAACCCCCTGTTCACTGTTAGTGTGTTACAATAAGCCGAAAATAGACGAAGTACTCCGTACTCCGTAGGGGGTTGCATTACGGAGTACAGATCAGGACTTTGCTCCACACGGGAGACTATTTATTTTCCACGGTTGGGCCTCGGACAGTTATAAAAGGGGGGTCCATATATTGGTAACGACATATACAACTTCAACAAAGGGAGAAAAAGAAAGAAAAAGAAAAAGGGGGGTAATATGGGCAGTGGAGTTGTTCCCCTCTATAGGGGTCATCAAAGGATTGCGGGATAAAATCAACTCGTTTGCTATCGCCGAGCCACGATGTGGCTCGAGCCAGGAAAAACACAGCCACTGACTGTCACACACGTGGCTGGTGGATATAGGGATTGGGGCTTGGCACATCTAGTGCTATATGGGGAGTCGTGTGCTCCAACAAAATTAGAAAACTAGTCACATTTGGTTTCAAAGATATTGTAATGCCAAATCAGCATGTGGGCAAGGCGGGTAGGATTGGGATCAAGGGTGCCATCTATCATGTTGATATGAAGCGCCTGCAACGTTGTACTCGTACTCCATACTCCATACAAAAAATGTGTTTATGAGAGAAATCTGACGTATTGAAATGTATGGACCTCAGGGCTGATATGGAGAACTCTGCATTTTCTACATAATAGAAACTGCTGTTTCTGTGCGGTTATTACTAAGCATGATTACATAATCTTTCATGGTATCATCCCATATATGCAACCTTGCAATTTGACACACCCCCCAGCTCTTAAAGCCTGCATTTTCCTAGCTTTCAGAGCTGCCAAATCCTTCATTTCTTCACTTCTTTTCCACTTCTTCTGGATGAATCAGATGCCTGATTTCTCTCATCCCAAT